GACATTAGGAAGAACTTCTTCACAGTTAGAGTGGCCAAAGTCAGGAACGGGCTCCCAAGGGAGGTGGTGCTCTCCCCTACCCTGGGGGTCTTCAAGAGGAGGTTAGATGAGTATCTAGCTGGGGTCATCTAGACCCAGCGCTCTTTCCTGCCTATGCAGGGGTTCGGACTCGATGATCTATTAAGGTTCCTTCTGACCCTAACATCTATGAATCTATGAATAAGTATGACTTATCCCCACACTGCAGATGGAGGAACTGAGGCGCACAGCCTGTGACACACAGATTATATCTGTGTGTAACTTGCCCCACTTTAGAGTAGCCACCTCAAGCATGCTGTGCTGTTTCAGATGGGCCACTTCCTAAACCAGAAGCAAGCTAGCTGTGTCTGCCTAGTGCAACAGTTTGAGCTAACGAGCGTGGCAACAGGCTGACGCTGTCCCTCAGCAGTGCTAATTAGCTTGCTCAAAGCGCTCTGCACATGTGACCACACTGCTGGTTCAGGAGCAGCCTGCCTGCAGCCAACCTGCGAGCATGAGGACACCGCTCTGGAGCATGGTATTAGCACCCAGACCTAGTCATGGTGAGTCAGCAGGGGATTCAAGAACAGAACTGAGGCATGTGATTCTCTAAGCCAGGGCCGTGGCGAGCTCTTCCATCACAAGTGAATAGTGTTTTACATCCACTTTGCATACAGGCCAGGGACATTAGGTTCACAGCAGTGAGGGGTCAGGCTCAGGTCTACCCAGGTTTTCTGGATGAATTTCACTATTCCAGTGAGGGATCCTGTTTCACGAATGATGTAAATTAGTAAAATCTGCTGATATAAAGTTGCTTTATACTGTTATAAGCTATTCTCCTAAATAAGACAATAGGAGTTACAGTTACAAGTTATACCAGTGTAACTGGCAGATACAAGCTTTCTGGTATTAACTATACCAGGATAATCAAAGAGGTATATGTGTGAACAAGGCCTTTCTTCACTAGACCAATACTGGTCTCATCTCATTTCCATTCTAAGTTTCTAGCCTTACCAGCTCATTTTGATCCTCTTTTAAGTCCAGCTTTGACAAGAAAGAGATTTTCCCCGTAGACAGCTCTCACCGCTAGATCTTACCATTTAAAGAGGTTAATACTTAGAATTCCTAAATCCATGGGTTTTGCAAACACTAATTAATTAAGCTTTGTAACTCATTGAGGAGGCCCGTAACATTTCCCTCTCTGCTTTATAGGGGAAATCATAATGGCAAAGTGGCTGTGTGACTTATCCAAGGCCACAGAGAAAATCACATCAAAGATTAGACTCCAATCTTCTACTCTTTGAAGAGCTGGCTACAGGTTAATGCTCTTTCAAGACAACCTTATCACTAGGGATCCTGGTTTTCTCCGATTTAAAAAAATCCCCAATTTTCGGTTAAAAAAAAGAAACCCCAAATCCACATTTTTCTGTGATTAAAATGAACCACTAATATATATCAAATATATATATAGTGCAATTTACTAGTGCAAGCAATACTTGAACCACTAATATATATATATCGAATATATATTAGTGGTGTTTCATTTAAATCACAGAAAAATGTGGATTCGGGGGTAATTTTTTTAAAACCAAGAATTGGGGATTTTTTTAAATTGGGAAAACCAGGATCCCTGCTTATCACAGGCCTATCCCTTTCCTCTTAGAGGAGGCGGAGTTCTCTTCTACAACTATTCTTTCTCTTCGCTGCTTTTTTCGAGATACACTGCAAAGGAAGCTCCTTTTCACTGTCTACACACAGTCTCTAAAGGGATGGAGGAACGTTAACAGCTGTAGTGTCGTTAGTACCGTTTATACCATCTGAATGATGCAAAGTCACCAGCTTGTCATCTAACCTGGGTGCTGCCCTGATCTGCAGTGCTGACCTGTGATGGAGGCTGAGGTGTACGGCTACTACCTTTTCCAGCTCCTGTGGCTGGTGTTCATTTATACAGCAGTGTTCCTGGTGCCTGCCTTCTCACTGCTACACATTTAAATAGGCGTATACCAATGTTGATTTCTTTTGCTGAAACAGAATCGAGGACATATCAGGCCAGACTTCACCAGAGCTCGCTTGGAATCTGCCCTACTGCCTTGAGCCCTATTGAATTAAAAAAGTACAGGAAAACCAAGGACTATTGTTGACTATTCCTTTGCTCTTAACATATAAAAATGCCTGCTAGAGAAGTTGTAAATTGACATCTGTGCTCAGGGGCTGGCATAAAGTTCCAACATAAAGTTCCAGTCTACCCTTAAGGACTCCAATAGTACTAAATCTAAGGTAACCTTGTCTGCTTATTTGCTTTAAGGCACATGATGTGACATTATCCAAATAATCTAACACACATTAATATCCATCTTATATACAAATTAATCCTATGAACTAGATTCACACAAAAACTGCCTTGCTTCCTCACTGACATGTACTGACATACTTTGAAGTGGAACGTGGCTGCTGTTTAACTGTACGTAGCAATACTCTACTACAGTTTAGGTTCAGGAGTGAAAAACACTTCCCAATCCAGCTGAAACTGCAAGATAACTTTTAAATTGGAAGGACTCAATTACTCAAGTTTGGAATCAGGCCAAAACATGCAGATTAAAATCCTCTTAATGTTGTGAAAGCTGCCAAGTGATTTTTAACGGCTGGGTCAGGGCCTCTGTTTTACATCCATGCAAAAGACAGAACCTCTAGCAGCATGGTGTCAGCTGTATCATACTGGGGTGTTAGTTCACTGCTGACTCAAAACAGGCTGTAATACATATGAAGTCACGAGCAGCACTTGCTGCAACATCTGGTTGTTAGCAGTGACACAGGGAGACGTTGCCTGGTTTGTAATCTCTACAGTAAATGCAGAGAGGAGAGCAAGAGGTGCATGGATCTCTGTGGTTTTAATAACAGCACCCAGACACAGCTCCTGCACAACGTTCTGCTGGGGACTTCAGTCCTCTTTTAGGACTGGGATGAGTCTTGGCTTGACAGGAAAGTACAGGCCTGTTTAAAAAAAAAAACATCTGGAGGAAATAAGAGTACCAAGCATGAAAGCTGGTTATGGGGTGCCCTCTGGACCAGAGCATCTTCTTTTCTCATGACAGACAATGGGAGATTTTCTAGAGTTTACTAGTGCAAGCAATACTTGAGTTAAAACCTGCTTTGAGAGCCCACTGCCAGACTCAGATGCTTGCAAGGGCAACAGATATGAGCTACCACCTTGGGGAACTACCAGCTGATTGCAAACTGCATGAAAAGTTATAGTGTGAACAAGGAGAACACAAAACACCAGCAGACTCTCCATATGCCTGAAGAAGTGTGTTTGTGCCCAAAAGCTTGCAAAGAACAATTTTTCCAGTTATTTAGTTAGTCTAATAAAAGAGATCACATTTACCCAAAGAACCTTGCCTGCCATACTGTGAACAAGGTCTTTAGCAGCAGCATTTGGTTGTTTCCAGCCATAGCTCTTCACTGCCCTGCATCTTGTGCAGTCATTTACCTCAGAGCCAAGGACGCCCAAAATGTTTCTGTTCTGGCTTGGTATCATGTGGTCCAAAGTGCAGGACTAAGAGAGAATTGGGTCTTTATGAAAGAAAAGTAACTAGAAAAATTGAATGTAGATCCTTCTAGAAAGGACCAGATCTATTCCAAAAGGCAACCCATGTTTAGCACAGCCCTTTTTAATATACTACATGTCTCCACCAAGCAAATGGATCCAGACAGAACTGATGAGGCACAGGCAGTATTGCCAAATCTCAAGATTTTTGGCGTTGTTCTTAAAGTCTGTGCTTTGGGAATGTGAAAAAACTTAGCTCTCTTATATGTATTTATATATAAATATAAAAGAAAGAGCTAAGTTTTTCACATCTCCAGAGCACAGATTTTAAGAACAATGTGAAAAATCATGTGGGTTGGCAATACTGCACAGGTAAAAGTGGCTCAAGCATATTTAGAATGTTTTGGGGGGGCTGCCATTCTCCATCTTCTTAATTACTGCTGAAATAAACTATGTCTTTCTCCACAGATGGCATTGCAGGAGAGACTGTTCACCTTTAATGCAGTTACGACTTCTGCTATTCTGAATCCTTGCTGCTTTTCTCAAGCAAAGGGGTCACCACCTCAAATGGGCACTCATAGTGGGGTAAGGAAAATCTACTGTCTATCAAGCTCCACCCAGAACTGAGGGCACAAGCCAACTGGAAGAGGAGTCATTAACCTGGAAATAGGGTTGCTGTGAAAAGGTTTGGAGCAGCTGGTTTAAGAGTAGCTACAGCCAATTCAAACAAAACCCACATTCTCCTCAGTTCTCGGATCCCATTATTCCTCTTGCCATGGCATCATTTGTTACTTGTGATACAAATCTCTCACAGTTTCCCTGGTAGAAGAATAGGGCTGAACGTTTACTGCAGGGGAAAGAAAATTAGCCAGCCCTGTGGGGAAAAGAAGTCTTTGGTTTAAGCACAGTGGACCCAATTCTGCTCTTCATGCTTTGCATAGCCACATACACCTGTGTAGGGGGTGTGTGGAGAGGGCAAGGAAGGGAGGAGGAGATCAGAAACCTATATCCTGCTAGTCTCATTACATTTGATACCCACCTTGCACTCATACAAAAGATGACACAACATGCAAGGCAGTGCAACATCAAGCCAGTGTTAGCCTCCAGCTCTAGAGTGCCATTGCACTGGATGGTTTCGGGGTGGTTTGCAAACACTGAGTATTGAAGTCTCACAGCTTCCTTACAAGATAGGCTGAGTACCATCATCCTTGTTTTCCGGTAGGAAAACTGAGGAAGAGAAAGATTAAGTGACCCGACCACAATTACACAGCGAGTTAGAGGAGGCAGAAACAGAAACAAGGACTTCTCAATACCCAGTCCTTGATTCAAGCCACCAGATGACATCCCTTTCATCCAAAACATGGACATTCTGAAAGGTCATGATGGTAAGTATATTAAAGGAAAAATCAACTCCCAGTTAGTGATTCTTAATCCGGATTAGTATAGTTTTGTATTAGGCTGTGTCCTGAAGTGGTTCTTATAAGGAAACACTTCACCTGTGTTGAGTTACCTCTGTGGTGTTAACATAATAATGGGCCCTTTCTACTTGTACCGAATTAATCGAATAATCTTATTATTCATGAAATCTGAGGCATGCGGGTGGGAGGAATCCACACAAAAGCCATCGCTCAGAGCTATTTTTAGCACCTCTTCAATAAATACCTGGAAACTATTAATTTGCTTATTAGCCGGCACCACCCAGAGTCTCTTTAAGTTCTGTCTAGTGTATTCCTCTTCTGGAAGACCTTCCACAGTTGCCACCCAATCCAGGGTCAAGTGATTGGGGTCTTGCAGGTAGCTGGATATCGAAGAGAGATTGCCATTGAAGCAGTAGTAAAGTTTGGAGCCAAGGAGCTTCAGGAACAGACATGATGTGCTAAAGATGTGGGCATTGAACACTTCCATGTTGGAGGATGACAGGCTGTAGATCTGGGGAGCTTCTCGCACGGTAAAATGAACCGTTTGCGTCCTCTGATCCAGGGTGATGTTGAGCATGGCATTCTTCTCAGCTTTGGACAGCTCCACCTCCTTCTCCTGCAAAGCCTCAATCAGCGGCTGGATCTGGTAAAAGTCCGCCTCCCGCCGAAGCAAGCCCATCTCCTGGTAGTCGTCTGGGAGGTCCAAGTGGGATGTTCTCAAGAAGTTCAGGATGTAACGGAAGACTTTGCCATCCCTGTCGATGAAGCAGTTGCCTTGGCTATCCTTTTTGGTTGGCATCTTCCCACTAAACATGGCTCCCAGCATGGAGTCTGGAAAGCTAGTCAGCGTGGAAAGGGAAGTGGTGTAGAGTTTTCCTCCAACATTGAGTGTTATCGGGTCAGACATGCTGGAAGAGTTGCAGTGCTGGGAATAACCCTAGAAAAAAAAATCCAATACTACACATTTAGGTGTTCTTGTTCGTCACTTTGAGTGAAAAACTTTAATTTATCAAATAGACATACTGCAGTTATTATAATGAAAACCAGAAACAGAAGTAGAAACCATAACAGAAATCAGTCCTCAGTTGATGTAATTCAGAGCAGCAGTCAGCTGAGACACAGCTTAGACCAGCTGAGAATCTGGCCCTTAGCCTGAATATCTTTTGCTCGGTCTCATGTTCTTTTTCTTAGCTGTGTGCTGAGCTCAGCCCAATCAATGGCTCCCCTACCTTGTTCTTCATATCTTTCAAACACACTTAAAAGGAATCTTTCACAATCAGCAGAAAACCCACATAGACCATCAGCATCTGCTTACGGGGCACAAAGTAGCTCTTGTTGCAGTAAGTGTGGTCGTTCCATAGATGGCTGCCAAATGGCTCCCTTCAGAATAAACTGAAGTGCAGGCATTTCAGTGACTAGTTACAGAGCAAACAGGGGCATCATGTCCCCGTTATTGGATTGGTAGTCACATTCCCACAGATAAGGAGGACATAATCGTGTTACAGTCTGTAATATCAATTCTCTGCTAGCTACTAACAAACAGAATAATGGTGCTTGATGTGTCTTTCATCAAAGGACATCTGAGGCTCACCACATCCTAGAGAGACAGGCTATATTATAATACTCATTTCACAGTGGAGAAAATTAAAGATGAGAGAAGTTTTCAGATCCTGGGTGCCTAACGCAAGACATGGTGTACTTGATTTTGACTATCCCCTAAGCGCCTGCAACTTCAATTGGCAACACCAGATACCGAGCACTTCCAAAAAAGGTCCCAAGTCTCCCAAATTTAGCACTCTCATCAACAGACACACTTAAAAGATTGACCTAAGCAACTTCTCCAAGGTCACAGAGAAAAATAGCGAAAGAGCCCAGAAGAGAAACCAGTTCTCTTTACCAGCTATTGCCAAAGCCAAAAATAATATTCCTCCCCATATTTCCATTCCATTCATCTGTAGCAAGCAAATGTAATTAAATGGCTTAAAGCGAGAGAGAATTGTGGGACCACTATTGCACTCTTGGACACGACAGCTGGCAGGGCATAACTGAGGTTATGGAAGGAAAGATTAGGTGCAACCAGATGCCCTGAAATGGAGCTGGAACCCCAGGAGGACTTTCCCAGGGGGGCTGATACAGACTGGTCAACGTGGCGATGCCTGAACTGCAAGCGCACACAAACTGGAAGATCAAAACATGATCAAATGGGGCTACTCTAATGACATGAATACATGTGAGCGCGGTGAAGTGCAGACCATGGAGAACCTGCTCGTTTTGCCGACTCCTTGGCGAGACCTGTAGGAAGGACTTCGCTGCAGCAACAGAAACGGCCATCGCTTGTGCAAGATTCTGGAAAAACATCTAGTTTATTGATGGGGACACAAGAAGAAAAAGATTAGCCTGTAACATAGATGCCACTGCATAGCAACAGTTGGAGGGGATCAGATCTGCTTGTGCATATCCTAGATCTTCAAGTCTCTGGAGTGCCAGGTTAGATGCCTATGCATATCTGGAGCTGAAGGACAAGCTGCATATATTTTTTGTTGAGTAATAAGGGCATTGGAATATCTCTCTCTCACTCACACACACACACCCTACAAACCCAAGAGCACCTGAAGACACATTCCTGTATTAACCCTAAAAAGGCAAGTCCTGGGAAAAACGAGGTATGGGATAAAACTGTTATTTTCCAACATTACCCCAGTCTCCTCTGAAGAGTCAGCACATTCCACTGCTCATAGAGACTGAGAAGATGAATAAAACAGATCAACACAGAGCTGGCCTGGCCTGGTTCTGCCATTCAATCAACTGACATATGTTTTTCCCTAAGGGCTTATGATTGGGATGTAAAAAAACATGTTATGAATGAACATCAATGTCCATATGATCAGCCTCAACTGGATTTTGTTACCTGGATCGATCAGCAAAAAGAGATTCCCTGTGTCCCACTGCACAGAACCCAGAGAGAAGGGGCCCATTTGTTGTATGTGATCAATATGTTAGTGGCTCTCTTATGCTCTTTGCTGGTCCATTGAGTTGCTAAAGGGGAAAACATGATGGGTTTTGTTCAATTTGTGGGCTACAACCTTTTACTTTGGCATGACTGTCCAGAGTTATAATGTAAAGGCCCCATGGATGGTTCAGTAATAGCTTTTATAGCTCTTTACCCCTCAGTCATTGCTTTTCATCCACCCCAGGTTTTAACCTAACAGCTCTTTGGTATCTTTGGATAAATGGGAGGGGCTAGGGAGTTTCTGTCCATTGACTCTGATGGACACAAAAAAATCCCTATCCCTAACTGGCCCTTTTATTGCCAATCTCAGTAGTGAAGAGATATGGACTAACTAAATATGCTCAACTCTGAAGAAGGTCCCTTCCAAGCCCATGGTTATACTACATCACAGAGCACAAATATAACCTACTTCTCAGGTGGGTCTTGGCCCACGCTGAGCACTGTGTTCCTGTGGTTAGACTGTCCTGTTTGCTAGCTTCTGAAGCCAGCTCATTTAAAACGAGACCAGGTATTTCTATGCTATATTACAGCACAAATGTACCTTGAGATATATTTGTTCTGCACATAAATATTTTATTCTGTCTTCCAGGAGCTATATGTATTTTACAGCCCTCCAAAGACTGTAAAAGTGACAATTCATAGATTCACAGATGCTAGGGTCAGAAGGGACCTCAACAGATCATTGAGTCCAATCCCCTGCCTGGGCAGGAAAGAGT